GTGAAGTTGAAGAGGAAGCGAGTAGCGGTAATATTTAAATGAGACTTACGAACTAAGTGAAATAATTAAAACAAAATATATATATATAAAAAAAAAATCTTAAGTCTAATTTCTTAAATTATGTTCAATTTGGAACAATACTCAATATAAAGGTGTCACACATCATTTAAAGATCAAAATATATAAGAGTTTGCGTTTAATTGTTCTATTCTTCAAATAATAAAACTAATGACTTTAAACAGATTTTCGTAAAAGTGTACAGATTCGATTTTCACATAATAAATCTATCGTTCGTCGTCGATTCATTCACACGTCATGAACACTTATTGAAATTCTTTGGGCAACACGAAAATATTTAAAATGAACGAAACCCCGACCGAATTTTGTTGTGAAATAAGAAAAGCAAAAGTTTGAAATGTTCTGCAAAATATGTGCAGATTTTTAACTAGAATTATTGCATATTTTCGAAAAATGATTTGCAATAAATTCGTGTGGAAATCGTGAACAAAATACTTCATCATTTCGATTTGAAGCCAAACTGGGTGCAAAGTGTTTTTATTTTTTTTAGATCTTATTCATTTTTGGATAATGTTCAAAATAGAAAATCACAAAAAATGTTCAAAATGGTTGAAAATGTCAATTTACAGCATTTGGTTTGTTGTTGAAGAATTCTTATATAACAACGGATGAATATAAGATGGGAAACTCTTGAGAGTGAAATGCATAACAAAAAAAACGGAGGCGAGATACACATGCTGGAAACTAGTAGTTTCGAAACTTTAAGATAAAACAGTACATCAAAACTTGTGATTTTGCACATTGTATTATCGAAACAATGCAGACAGATGAGTGAGTGTGAAATGTGATATGTTCTCTAATGAGTTATGATGTTCTACATATGAAAACCAAGTTCATTTTACGAAACCAAAAAAAATTATTTCGAAACAAAAAACAACGCTCAATATTTTTTTTGTGCTGTGAATTTTTCAACAAACAGCGAAACGAACAAAAGGTTTACGATCTCAGACTGGGTTGAAAATTCGAATCGAAAAAAAATATGCTCACAAAAATGGAAAAATCCAAACGAAAAGGATGCCGAAACGAATAATAATAATTTCTACAAAATTTAACTGAGTGACTTACCTGTCGATCGTAGGCTGTTGCCATTGTGATGTTTGGTTGTCAAAATGTTTACGACCAAAAACGAGTGTAAGTTTTGTTTGTACTTGATTTTTGAAGATGATACAGTTTTTGTAGAATTCACTCAAACGAAATGAGCGACTAATGATAGTGTTTGTCACGGACGTTCTACTGAAGATGTGCAAAAACAAGTAAAGAGCTCTGCACATATGCCGAAATGATAAAAATATGTAGAAACACTTGTTGGAATTGTTTTGCCATGAAAAAATGAAGAGAGCACCAAAAAGAAATATGCACAGCACACATGCACACCCGAACGAAATGAACACTTGCAAATATAGTTTTTATATATCGTGTGTTGTTTCACTATTGCTCTCAAACTCTCACGTTGCAAATATATAATTCTTTTCTTTTTTTAAATACGACAAATAGCAGTTAACATAAACATTGAACACATATGTGGATATATGTGCATTCGTGTATGCATCGGTTGGTATTGAGATCTGGAATATATCAAGTTGTCGCGCTTTTTTCATATGCATACACAGAAACACACTGTGTCTATCGTTTGCTAGTTTTGCAACAGCATTCGTTTTACGTCATCGGAATGTGCTCTGTTTTGTATTCAGCGTTTGCTCGCTCGTACGTTCGTTCGTTCTTTTTCTTCCTGTTTCCTTCCTTGCTCCGCTATATCGTCATCGTCTTTCCGTTATTCTTCACTGTTTTTTTTTGCATTCAAATAATTTGGTATGTATGCTTCTTTTCACGGAGACTTTATATTTTTCTTTTGGTTTTAAATATTAAGCGTTGACTTGTTCGTCGTTTATCGTCTTCGTAAACTGATTGATGTGAATGTAAAATCGATGATTATGTTTTTATTGCTTCGGTTGTTTCTTCCTCACTTTATGTTTTTCTTCTGTCTATCGCACCGTTTTTTCTTCTCTTCTTCTTCTTCCGGCGCTTAACCTGTTCGCGTAATAATTATACCGATGTTTTACACGTTTTAATTTAAATATTCAACAACCAAAACGTATGATACACACGTCGTGGATAAGTGATGACTATTGTATGTACCTGCGAAAGAACAGAACATTATGATAAAATATTGAGACGTTTATTAGATTGTATTTATTAAATTTGTTGTTTTTTTTTGTATTATCATCCGTTAACTGACCAATAGTAATGTGCAAAACAACATTAAATAATAATAATAAAGAGTCTTACAGGAGTAAGACGAACTTTTCCGCACGGTGGAAGATGCGTATTTTATTTTATTTTTTTTATTCGGCATCGAAAAATTCTTTAATTTAATAGCAGATGTACTCGCAAAAGATTTTTCACACTATCATGATTAACTCATTTGTATGACACTTAAAGGTATTATTTTTTCTAACAAAGCGCTATAAAAAAATAATAACATTCGGAGGGTTTGGAGAAATCTTGGGAGAAATTTCAACCAAAATTAAGAGTACCTCCCATACAAAATATTCGTTCTTGAGCCAAAAATTGAAAATTTTATATGAGGAGTACCCCTTATTTTGATTGAAATCTCTTCAAACTTTCAGAATGTTATTTTTTTGTGTGAGAATTAGTCTGTGCAAATTTTCACGTCATTAAGGTAGCATACAGGCATGGCGCCCATACAAATAAAGAGTCTTATAGGAGTAAGACGAACTTTTCCGCACGGTGGTAGATGCGTATTTTATCAAGCTATATATATTC